AGCGGGCAGATTCCTGAAGCACGTGGTCGCCAGTGTTGCTAACTCTCACGCGCGATTTTTTTATCGGAAAATGCAACTCTTGGCAAAGTAACCTGGAATGGTAAAGTAACACCGCTGTGGTATGTACAAATGACATAGATGTGGAACTAACGACATATTCATGCAAGAACTAAAACAAAGCATTTATGTACTATATGGACAGCACTGTCACTTTGGTAGGCATTGGTAGACAAATGTAAAAGTATGCCCTAAAACTACGCAAGTTTGGCGACAAACAATGAAATGTATACATGGCTCCTTCTAGCCTATTCGAATTTGTTGGACACAATTGATTTAAATTGAATGAAATGAAAAGTTAACTGGTAATATGCTATCGAACAGGCTGATTAAAAAACAGTTGCGATGTTCCTTGGACAGAAGGTAGATCCAGAAATAACACGAAAAACTGCTGTCTTGATTCGGGTCTAAAGGCCGTTGTCGGTTGGAATTTCTTCCTAACGTTTCGCTAGCACCAGTGGCAAGTTTCTTCAGAGGTCTTTCCAAATCCGATGTTGGATGTAGACTGAGTCTACATCCAGCATCGGAAGGTTAGGAAGAAATTCCAACCGACGACGGCCTTTAGACCCGAATTAAGACAGCAGTTTATCAACTGGCCGCGAAAGCCTTAACCAATTTGTCATAACACGAAAAGTTCATATAAACAAAGGCCCTAAGCGGCTCCTTTACTAAGTCACAGGTTATTGAAGTTATAATTTTGAAAAGTTTATATATTTTAGTCAAAACATACAAACATCTTCGTAGCTGAGACTCCCCATTAGCATATAAATGAGTAAATTTTGACCACTACAGAAGAAAAAAAATATATATTCAACATCATTACTATTATGAAACATCTTTCGCATTTTTTAACAAGGTACTAAATTTTACATGAATCGCTTCCCTTGAGAAATGTTCGCCAGGCGATTCGTTTCAGAGAGCGATTGATTTGAATATTTGCCGTAAAATCTTCAAAAACTTCAATGCTGATGTGAACAAAACGCTGGAGCTGATGAAGCTTGGCATTGATAACTGTATGTAGTGTATTGGTGTAATCTCATTTCACCATAGAGATACTCAAATAATACTATTTATGTTTTGCCCTTCTGTATCATCAGTTTGATAGAAACAACACTGTATATCTTAGCAATCGGGTATATGTTAATAGCAACCTAATATGTTCTTTTTCGATGTTCAGCGTCACGAAACCAAGCATTTCCATGGTAACATGTTTTCAAATCCTATATTACCAATTCAAGTTCAACAACATCTTGAGAAATGCGATATATTTTTGTAAGTAAATTATTTTTGTGATATTTCGTCGCATTGGATAGAAGAGTTTCACAATGCAAATTTTACACTTTTTCAGGAGAGCAAGTTAAAAGTCTCATTATTTTTGTAACGAAAAAACTACATTTGATAAGATATTATTTAAGGGTTTTTATGTACAGTTTCATTTAAATAAGAGTCAAAAACATATATAAACGCTTCATTTATTATTTTGTAATGTTTCCTTTATTTTTTTAAAAGTTGGATGTGACTGACTTCTTCAGAAAATATTTGGTGGAAGAGTTTAATTTATTGAATGATTACTACACTTTGAGGCAATTTTATTCAATTTATTCCAACTGTATACACGGTAAAAGTATAGCACTTACTGTCTAAAAGGTATTTATAAATTGTTATAGTAGTCCTGATAGTAGGTGGGAATTGGCCATTGTAGAGATTTCACTGCTCCCGGCTGAGCAACCAGAGAGAGAAATCCTTGCTTTTTCTTGGCAGTTATTCCTGGTTTCGATTTAAATCCTTGTTTTAACTGGACTTCTTGCATTACCAAGGGTTTACCTCTTGAATTGACTAAGCTGACAGTTTTTAAATATTTCTCATTAAAAAAATCTTTGATCGAGATTATCGTTCGTTGTTCCTTGCGGTTTCCCAGTTTTACGTGCATCTCGTATTAGATTTACGTACTGTTCAGGGATTTAAACGGGACCACTCCTTTTAAATCTTCTAACACATCTTTCAATAACTGAATGAGCACTATCTCGTTCATTCTGGGTGTGACTAACTGTTAGGAACTTACGGGTTATTGATTTTATACAGTCTAGTTTATTCACAGCGAACACATGCAGTGCGATCATAAACTTATTTTTTATTGTCCGACTCAGTTGTCGGAATAGAACACTACAGCTTTCTTTTGTTTTTGTCGGGTGTTCTAATTTCTTGGTAGACGTGGACAATGTATTTCCAAACACAATGTCATTGGGCCTCATGCCAAACGTAGCATGTAACATCCTTTGTTTTCAATTGATACATAGAAAAATTGAAAACATTCAATTTGGAGACATAATAAAAGGACTGAGCAGCTCCAGGTGGATAGGGTAGAGTGGCATGTAGATCGTAATATACTATTTTATCAGAATCAGTCCGGGTATCATGTAACTTGAAAAGTGACAGTATGCCGATTTTTTTGACATTATGCTGTTTTTTTTTGACATTATGTAGGTTTTTTATAAGATATTAACTTAGCACTTAGTTGTACGTGTTGCCTAAACGTCATGAGGTTTGTTATCAATCTTTGGCTCTGACGTGATGTAAAATCTGCTTCTGAGATGGCATTACTGGAGGTCTAAGCTTTAAGTTGTATATGTTGATGATAAATACTTATATTGGCTTCTTGTCGCAAATGCACTTAATTGAGATTCAAAGCTAGTTGCGCATCCACTTTTTCTTATCCATTCTGGAAATTACATATACAAATTTGCTGAATTTGAAAAATGAGCGAGATACGAAATAATTATATTCACTGTACACTGTCGAATTTCAAGCCATATACATACTAACAGTAATTACACACAACGCGGGCGCGGTGATGATTTCCCGTAATTCTCCTCAGTTTTTCGTAATTTATAACTTTGAACATAACCTCTCTTCAGAAAGCACAACATAAAAATAACCCGTCGGGTACAACCAATAGATATACCTCATTGGCAGCATACTCGGTAATGATTTTCTCACACAGCAAATATAACTGATTTTATACACATGCAGACCAATACACATAATCATCCAGATGCGATCTTGCTATTCAACCAACTTTCTTCTCAGAGATAAAAACTACAGACAAGAACCATTTGGCCTCACAAAACATATGCAACCAATAATACGTTTAGTCTAGTTGAGTGATTCCTCCTTAGATGGAAAACTACCTAGTTTGCAAGATGACATCTTATAGGTTTTTTTTTGACGTTTTATAGGTTTTTTACATGATGCTCATGCGGTATGGCTATTTGATGCGAGCTTGCTCCTTTTCTGAAATGTGCCGATTATATTGCCCTTGCATTTGTATCCGATTCTCTTCATTTGCATTTGCAAACGCAAGGTAAAGCTCACATTGATCTTTCTTTGAAAAACCCCATATTAAAATGTAATACATATAATAATTAACAAATGGTCTGTTTTGATCCACACAGATTTTTTGGTAATCCATGTAAAGCTGAGAAATTGTTTCTCTTCTATATAGGGTAAGTGTACCAGTGAATGAACGCGTTAGGCCTTTTTCAAAGTAACCACTAATTTTATAAATCCATATTATAAGGTAACATTTAAAAAAAATACTAAATACTCGCTGTTTCAGTTGAGAATATATATTTAAAATCACATTTTCACAAACTTACATATTATTCAGTAAAAAAATAAAATAATTAACCATTTCACTAAATCCTAGTTAATGAACACGTGTTGCCAGTAAATGAACAATGTGTATCTAGTAAATGAACATAAATTCTAATAAATGAACAATGGGTATCTAGTAAATGAACTAACTGAATCCTACACATTTTTGGTACTATATCTAGGTTGCGTTAACTTAAGATTAGAAATCTATAACTATAGATTGATTTAGATATGACCAGGTGCCTATTCTAAAGGTAAGTATTTCTCTATTTCATTGCATTCAAATATGCCCCTACGAATTAATCTTGGTTCAGTAATTTGTTCTAAAATAGACGCTTTATTGTACCAAATTTGATCAACTCGACCGGGCCATTTAAAATGATATTTTCCTTCAATATCAACCTTGCACATAGTCTGCACTTCGTATTCCTCGCCTTCTATATTCTTGACGATTCCTGGAAACGGCTTTTCATCATAAAGGACGATTACATAGGACCCAGTATCAGGTCCAGATGAGTTTGAATTTTCTTCTGCGCCAATATTATTTTCCTTCATATCGAGCGAGTCATTTCCACCACTTTTGCGTTCTGTATGATTCTTAATGTTGTCTTTTATCTTAGTTTTAGGTTTAGGATTAATCTTCTTGGTTTTAGCCTTCAAATTGACCTTCAATTTTCGTTGTACTCTCAGTTCTTCTTTTTTCTGTTTCACTGCTTCTTTCTTATCCATAAATTCTTTAAACTTCTTAGAAGTAATTGCGTACGGCATACGAGTGTTATCGTTAGATTTACGTTTTGTAGACTTCACTGGTTCACTAGGCCAACGCAAATGTTGCGACCACACCTCTTTCTCATCTATAACCTTTTTCGGGAGCGTATTTTCTGAAATGTTGTCCGCTTCCACTGGCTTCATTGAAGTTTCCTTTTCTAATACTACGTTACAATATTTATCCTGCGAAATATTATCTTCCGCGTTGTTTTGTTCATTGTGTTGACTTTCAATCTTCTGTAGTTTTTCAGGTTTTGTCACGCTGTAGTTTTGTAAAATACTTTCAGATTCATTAATCAAATTAACATCTTCCATCGTAAGCTGGTCTCCCCCTCTATTCTTCACCAGGTCTTCGAGGGTAACAACACTGTGTACAATAATTTTTTTCGAAGGTTCTTCCGTAGCGCAGCTTACTGACTCGTCTAATTGTTGGTTTTCCGTAGCACTACTGTACACTATCCCGTCGAGTTCAATAGGCATACTATTAATATCGAATTCATTGAAATCAGAAAAATCATTTATTAGTGATTCAAATTGATCAGTTTCCTCTCATTTGGGTCAAAAGGAAATAAACCGGTTACTCGAAATCCAGCCATTATTGTTTCAGGTTTGATGGCTTTATCAAAAGCATTTTTAAATAGAGGTGCAAAGTTGGTTTTTGTGATAGACTTTTGCGAATCCTGTTTTTGCCTCATAACAACATCTTTCCAGGCTACTTTCAAAGCTTTGAACACCGCGACGTCACAGGGTTGGAGTATGTGAGTAGCATTAGGCAGCAAACAAAATAATATAATATTGTTTTTTATGCAAAAGTTGAAAAGATCTATGCTTATGTGCGATTTGTGTCCATCTAACAGTAACAAAACGGGTAGTTTTATATGATTTTCTTCCAACCATGGATAGAAGATATTGGCTACGAATTCGTAAAATGTCGCACTCACCATCCACCCTGAATCCGACCGACCTATTCCCCAATTATCTGGCATAGATGTAACAATATCCCGAGATATTCTTTTGTATGGATACACCACCATCGGAGGTACACAGACACCTGCCGCCGAGAAAGTGCAAAGGACGGTAATGCACTCCTTCTCTGGTCCGCTTGCCAGCTCATAAAAGTTCTTATAATTTTTTGGACCTAACAATTTTCCCGATTTTGGACATGTCTGCAACCCTGTCTCGTCTGCGTTAAAAATTCTTTCAGGGGGCATGATAGAATATCCTCAGCATTTTCGCTGATTAGATAATCCTTTAGTTCACCGAACCATGTCCGAATGCCTTCTTCTGTAACTGATGCTCGACCTTTTAAAATTATTTCAGTGTTTCGCTGCGTAACATTGGGGTGCCTTTGAAGAAAAAGTTTCATCCATTTTTTTCCTGGCCTATCATCTGTGAAAACATTTGGTCGTTTCACAATTTTCAAAACTCGTTGAACTGAATCTTTAACTTCGTCTGGGTGCATTGGAAAACCTAACATTGCTTTGGATAAAATCCATTTTTCTAGATTGGCCTCCTCTTCCATTGTAAGAATGGTTGTGGGTCCCATTTTTCTCACTGCAGGCACTTTGCCTCTTAATTTATTCGATAAAGTACTTTTCGGAATTCCATATTTTTTACTTGCTTGGGAAATGTTCAATTTTGATTGTCTGATGAACTCTACTGCCTCTTGTAGCTGCGCCTCCGTGTATCGAAATCTCTTGTATGGTTTTTTTGGATTTTCCATATCTATAAAAAGACATCATCATACCAACCCATCTTTCCACGCAAGTAAGTATAATATTATGTAGGACAAAAGGGAATTTGTTAACGATCATTCACTGGGTATTGAAATTTACTTCGGGATCCAATAAATGAACGATTTATAAAAGAGCGTTCAATTACTGGATCGGGGCGTAAATTTAACATTCCACTATTGTAGACTGAAAGAGCATATAAGGATCTTACGATATGAAGAACAAGGATGAATTTCATTTGCATGTTGAAATACCCAGTCAATGAACGATCTGTTCATTTACTGGTTTATCAATGGCACCAATGAATGAACGACTATATTTTCTATTTTGGCGGGAAGTTAGCGTTTTCTAGGTTATGTTTAGTATTAAAAAGGAGTATATAGGTGTCTTATTCAAGTATTTATTCACATTACTGCTGCTATGTGAGCAACATCCTTATTATTGAGAATAGCTACTTACCTAAGACGTTATAGCACTTGCTCCGATATACCACCAGACAAGAAATGTGAATTTTTCTGCCGCCGACACGTTCGTTCACTAGATCTCAGAAGTGTTATTTGTGAAACAAGTTAAGACAAACGTTCAAAATATGATGTCAATTCATCAAAAATAAGGCTAGAGGGGAGTCGAATCTTAAAAAATAGCTAAATTTGGGCTTTTGTTCAATTACTGGTACCGTTCATTTACAGGTGCATTTCCCCTACTCTTTCTTTGTTTGGGATGGTCAATAGTGGCTTTCGATTCTTCGTATGCTTGCAATATGTTGTCGCACACTGTTTTTTAATTTATCTGAAACTGTCATATGCTTTTTATGTTTTCCCCTTAAGTCAACTCCAATTATACCATCGCTTGGTTTTTGCTGCTTCATCACACAGTTCATATTATCCTGGAACTTATGTCTAGGGCTGACATAAACAAATACTTGCAGACCCTAATTCTTCCTTTAGTTCCAGATCCCAAATAGAAGGCATTGTTGAGACGGCGGCAGCTATCAGCTTTCTCATGCCTGTACTTTGGCTGTATAGGTGTCATTCTAGACAGTATAAAAGCACGCTGTCTTTGTAGGTCGCCCATTTCCCAATAGGGTTTAAATATGTTTTTCCTATTGTCGACGTCCATCTTTTCGAAGCACTTCAGCCTGCACCGATCACTACAGGGAGGTCCCATTTTCTTCTCCTCTCGTTGGACATGTACATATTTTTTCGTCCCATCAACTTGCTTTACCTATTCTGCTGATCGATATGTCTGACCACTATTTCGAAGTCGTTTTGCAGCATTCTTCAACCACGCATCTTTATTTGGTTTTCACTTTCGTCCCATTTTTCTTGAAATTCAATTATTTCTGTTTCATTTACATTTCCAGCATCATCATTCATTAGGTTCATATTATTTTCCCTATCCGGTGTGTCTTCATCTGATGCTATAAATTTACGATCAGCCACTGAGTCATCTGACGCATAAGGTTCATTATCACTACTACTTGACCTTTCGCTTCCTAAAAATTACATATTGGTGAAAGGATGTAGCTATTTTGAGATAAGTTTTTGTTATACCTTCAAACGAAATTGATATCTCCTCCGACAGTTGACGCGTTTGGATCTATAAGAATAAACAGTGTTATATAATCGAAAAAGGTGAACTAATGGATGTTAAATACAGGGTGTCCGCAAAGTTGGGGATTTCCTTTTCAGAAACAACTACCCTTGAAATAAGAAAGGTAATGCGTAGTGAAACGAGGGCGACCAAGTAAAAAAATAAAGGAAAAAGTACTCACTCTCCAGTTGACGAGAAGGGCTAAGTACGTCTCTGGCCGAAATCATACCGCTCCAACAGAAAATGAAATCAGCTGATGCACTACCGAGCAGACGCACCATGCCAGCCCAAACATTCACCGAAAATGTTTGTTGAAAATGTGCCCGACGGACAGCTTGGATTGTCTACTGACCAAACATGAGTGTTGTGAAAGTTATTCACCCCATTACGCGTGAATGTAGATTCGTCTGTCACCAATATGCACTTCAAAAAGTCCGGATTATTGTCATGTTGATGCAACAACCACTCACAAAACCGCACTCTTGCTGGAAAATCGTCAGGTTGAAGGGCTTGTACACGTTGGACGTGAAACGGATATAGCCCGTCTTCACGCAGCGTTTGCCACACTTTAGTTTTTGATACTTGTACTTCTCTAGCCACGTCTCTAGTGCTTGTTGAGGGCACGATACACGTAACACCGGTATGCTACTAAGCGAGTCAAAAATCGTACGATGGCGCACATGACGTCACCTGCGAAGCATCGATGAATGGCGATTACAGAGTTCAGTATAGTGAGGTTAGGATAATACCGACGTTATAAGATTTTGTTCCAGCATTTCGTTTTCCTTTTTTACATCGACAAGAATGCCGGGTTGTGCGGTAGCTAATTGCAAAAATTATAATAGGGTTACGAAAGGATCTGATATAAGGTACTTTCGATTTCCAAAGAATGAAGAGTTTGTAAAGCGATGGGTAGGTGCATGTCGCCGTGAAGATGAAATTAATTTGAGAAATGGTTAGTACATATTTTCAAGTTGTGTATACAATATTTTACACCTTTCCTTTTGTTAAGAAATATTAGGAAAAAGCTATGATGATATCATTAGATTTTTTATTCGTAGCATGCATCTGCTCCGAGCATTTTGATGCCAGCTGTTTTGAAATTCCATTGCGACAAAAATTGCTAAAATACACCCCCAAAAATAGCCGATATTTGAAACCTGATGCTGTGCCTACTTTACGACTACCAGGATGTCATGATTCCTGCTCACAAAATCAAGGAGACAGATCAGCACGACTGAAAAAGAGAACACAACATAAAAATGTAGAAGATATGCTAAAAGCAAGTACTTCGATCATTTTGAATCTAACACAGCAAAAAAGTACCAATGATATCAGAACTGAGACTACAACGTTGGCTACAGCAGGTATCGAAAAGTAAGTTTACTTCTAGTACTGAATATATTAACCAGTGAATGGCTCCCAAATCACGCATGCAACAATCACAGGACAGTGACGTTTTAGCGCCTAATTCAAAAGTGAAAAAATTATTCTTTTTTTTCTAACAAAAATCGAACAACTTCTATCGGAAAACATATTTCACAAGATTTTTATTACCTAATTAACAAAGTAAGACACTTTTGACAAAATAGAGAATATTCTAGTAATCTAATAACTTGTTTATTACAGAGCAAGTGACATACAGATAAAAACGTTGAAGGAGAGAATAGTGGTTCTGGAAAAGCAGAATAAAGCACTCACTGAGCAGGTTGAAAAAATAGAAGAAAAAACAGCCTTAAAATATAAAGATGTCTTAGCCAAAGTTTTCACTCCGGGGCAGATAAAAAAATTATTGAATGCAGGAAAAAAAAGAGTCCGTTGGTCACCAGAGGATATTGCAACCGCAATTTCTTTACGTAGTGTCAGTCCAAAAGCATATCGTTATTTGAGAGTAAACAATTATCCTTTACCAGCTTTGTCCACCTTAAGAAGCTGGGTTTCCAGCTTTGACGTACATCAGGGTATTTTGAAGAGTGTAATAACATTAATGCAAAAGAAGTCTCTTGATTGTACTGAAGCTGATAGAATTTGCGTACTAAGCTTTGACGAAATGTATGTTTCGAACAAAATCGAGATCGATAAGAAAACTGAACAGATCATCGGACCTCACAGATGTTGTCAAACTGTTATGGTGCGTGGTTTACTTTCAAAATGGAAGCAACCAATTTACTATGAATTTGATCAGTCGATGATGAAATATATTATTGAAAAAATAGTAGCTGAACTGTTCCGAGCAAATTTTATCGTAGTAGCGATTACTAGTGACATGGGCACTGGAAATACTGGACTGTGGTCTCAGCTGGGTGTTGGACATCAAAATTGTTTTTTTAATCACCCTTGTGATAACTCTTTAAAGATTTTTGTTTTCGCAGATCCTCCACATCTGCTTAAACTTACTCGAAATCATTTAATTGATCACGGTTTTATTATCGATAACAAAGTAATCAATAAAGATTACTTTGAAGCGCTGCTAAATATTTCAACTTCAGAGTTAACAATTGCGCACAAATTGACACCACACCATCTCTGCTTAAAAGGCTCTATGAGACAAAAAGTGAGACCTGCAGTACAATTATTATCAAACTCTGTAGCAAAAGCAATCAGTTATGCTGGAGAAAATGGACTCATGCCAAAAGACAGTTATTGGAAAGAAGCAGCTGTAGTTGTTCAACTATTCAATGATTGGTTTGACTTATTTAATTGTCGATCTAAGTTTGTTGAAAATTGTCCAACACGAAATGCATATGGCACAGATTTAGATAAGCAGATACGTCTGCTAGATGAAATGTCAGAAGTAGTTAGTTCAATGCGGATAGGTAAACATAAAGGGCTTATTCCGTTTCAAAAAGGTATATTACTCTCTAATAGATCTCTGAAAGAGCTACTTCCTTACCTACGTGAAAAATATAATGTAGAGTATATTTTAACTTCTCGGCTGAATCAAGATGTACTTGAGAACTTCTTTTCTTACATTAGAGGAATGGGCGGCGCAAATGATCATCATTCGCCACTAGATTTCAAATATAGATTACGGTGGTACATTTTAGGAAAGAATTCGTCAGCGATCTTCACAGAATGTCGCAATGAATCTTGCTTAACTAATATGATAGAAAGTTCTTCATTGCCAAGCGATATGTCAACATCAGAAGATATTTGCTTGACACAAAAAATGCTTTCTAATTTGGTAGAAGAAGTTGGATGTTCGAAAGGACCTCAGTGTGAAGAGGAACAAATAATTCAAAACACATTTGTAGAAGCTCTTTACTTGGAGGATCATGTGATTGATGAAGACATGTTAAAACTTGTAGACAATTATGAAGTGAAAGAGAAAATTCACCATGATTCTTTAAAGTATGTTGCTGGTTTTGTTGCATATAAATTCAAGCATAAATATAATTTAGGGAATCCTACAAACACCTTTGAGAGAAATATAGAACCAGATTGGCTTCAGACAATCTCTAGAGGCTCTCTGCTGTATCCTAACGACGAATTGTATGAAGCTACACTGAAACTGGAATCAGTGTTTTACACAATGCATGGAAGCTCTTTATCCAAGGAAAATCAAATTTTTCATAAGCTTGCCCAGAATACTTTAAATCAGCTTAAGAATACCTCAATACAATTCGAAGTGCTCCTATGTCTCAGTAGCACACGTACATATATAAGATTAAGAGACATGAACAGGAAAATTAGTTTCAATAAATGTCAAAGGACACTCGAAAAAAAAATGTCCAAGTTTGTTAATTTTAGGAAATAAGTTTTTATAATGTTCAATAAATTTTCACAAATATAATTTCTATAACTATGCTGGAAATATTAATTACAAAAGCATATTGTTACAGTCGTATATTAATATACACATAATATATACATTATATATGGTACAAAACAGTAAGTAAATCTATGCTTACATTTAATATTAACGGGCTAATGCAGACGTCCGTACTATTCAAACAGAAGCATTGCTTCGCACGTGACGTCACGCAGTGAGAGAGAGATAGCGCTAGCATGCGCAATGGCATACCGGTGTTACGTGTATCGTGGTTGAGGGATTATCGTCTACGCGATTACCTCTACAGGCGTGACCGTAACCATCGGTTGAAGGTTGCATACTGACCTGACGCTGACACACTGACCCCGACCCCCGACCCAGTTCTGTCGTTGAGCCAGTGACATTGTACCACTCCGTGATGGCGCGGCTACAGGACGGTATTCAGATATTTTTGATGTTGCAGAGCCCTTTATCTCGGTTCCCTTAAGACATTGGTGTATATGGTACTAAGAAAAATTGCTTATGTTTTCAAGATCTACACGTCGTGTAAAGGAAAACCCCAACTTTGCGGACACCCTGTATACCTGCAGAAGTTTCGATGTTACCAGTTATGTCCAATATATCTGCAGATTTGCCTTGCTTAGGCAGATGCAATGATGATTCATCCTGACCTTTACCATTATTGAAGTCAAGATGAGTAATTTTATTTTCCACAAAGTACCAGATTTAGGAAAAAAAAACAATGAGGCACCTATAGTACGCATGTGTCTCGCACAGGCCGGACCGAATGCATGGCACGTAAGACAGTAAACCTAATTGCTGATAGGGGCAGCGCCAAGTGTGATTATGAACCTAAAGAAATGAACTGAAATTTGTTTCATGCGGTGCATGCGTTACGACCGGTGCGGAACAATCGACGCGTACCTTCAAACATACCTTCATACAGAGTGGTTTCATCATATTCAAGAGATCCTGTTTCCTGAATATCATCTTAAGTCACATCTTGCGTGCGCTTTGTAGCTTCAGAGTGTTGTACTGAAAAGTCATTGAATTCTCGATCGTATTGCTGTCGTTGACGTGAAAGTTTTATAATCAAACGGGATCTACTGCTACCGGCCATAGTACGCCCTTGAAAGAATATTTATTCACATTTAGATTAGAGTACTTGAATCTTATACTATCCTTTTCAACAATAGTGACGGACACTCGAAAAACTGGTTTCAAGTAAAAACAATGCACCTGTGTTTTTCATAATTTTTCAAACAGTGATGGAAAAGAGTTATCTAAACACACTATTTTGACTGTTTTTTTTCACATTTTTTATAGAAAAATGGGCCGACGGGTAGAGACGTCATGCCCCATAACACGTAACTTTTGGTTCATATGGGCATTGACGTCTACTGCCGTCCAGTATAAAATGTACACTTATTTGAAAATATTTATTGAAAGTATAGGTAGAACATTACATAATCCGTTTATTCTAAACCAGAACATAAAAATAGCAAGGATTATTTGTGCCACATCTCAAAACATGTCGCTGGGCAGAGCGGTGGCATGTCGGTACACGTTTTGCAGTGCAATGCAGTGTCTTCATCGAAGGTAGTATTTTGCTTTCTTCTTGAATCTTTCCGGAATGGAAAACCATATTTTTGTGCCTTTTTAATATGTAGCACTAATTTCTTTTCATTGACATCCCCTAACGTGCTGCCAGGTCTCATTTTCCCAGTCGTAGACAGATTCTTTTTTATCCTCCTTTCCAGGGTTTTTCTAGGAATGCCATAATTTTTGGAAGCACCGTTTACAGAAGAAACATTTTTGACAGCTTGAATTGCTAACCTCAAATTTTCTTCAGTATAATTTCCACGGTTTGAGTTCTTTCTTTTATACTCCGTAGGCATGTTTCTCGAATGTTTTGAAAATTAAGTCGAACTGCAAAGAAAAAAAGAAAAATAATAGGTGGCCATCTATACATGCAATTTGATGGCCATCTATCCCAAAGACTTGGGAGAGATGGCCACCGTGACAAACAGTACTCACTGTACAATTTTGACTGCTTTTAGAGATTAGAATTCATAAATAAGCATTGTACTTACCTAATTTTAGAAATCGTCAGCAAATTAGCATGCATATAATCACAGCACTACTAACGGTTAATCCGCCTGAAATTTTAAGCGAACTCGAAAATGTTTTTATTATCGGAATGCTTCAATATCACTTTGGCGCAGACCAAAACACACTGGCCGTATTACGCCGCGGCCGTTTATCGCAGGAGAGGAATGGTGGCGCCATCTAACAACGTTTAAATGGAATTTTGGCTGTTGCTCATCTCTCCCGGTTTGCCATCTCACCCGACTTTACCCAATCGATTTTGCACCTCAATTTGTTTTGGTAGGTAACCAGGTGTAATTGCAATAACATCGCACTTAACCTTCCACTTAGATACGTAAACATCACCCTTGCGACTCAAAACGTGTTCTTTTCTTAGTTTTTTGCTGATAATATGTTAAGATACGTAAACATCACCCTTGCGACTCAAAACGTGTTCTTTTCTTAGTTTTTTGCTGATAATATGTTAAGACGTTTCCACGTTTATTACTTAACAGCTTCTTTTAAAATAATTTTCATGCCTAGTAGGACACTACTCATATATATACATGAGAATAATTTGCTACAAATAACTGAGAGACGGGAATACCCGTTCAATATTCAAAGTGCCCGCTGTCGCATTCAGGGCGAAGACGGTAATGCCCGTCAGTGGCCGTCAACGTGTTAATACAAAATATTTTTCATATTTTTTTATTAATAATGTTGAAATATTACAGATACATTACACGATTGCATTTATAATATTTTCCAGAAGACTGTCGCATCTCTAAATAATTCGGCTTTATTACAAAGGTATCATGAAAATGATAAAAAATTGGAACAATAGGGAACTAACTCGACATATGACTGTATTACACCGAAACAGGAAAAAAAATACTTACTTTATGCAGAAGGCTGTTCTAAAGAAAAATGCGACTCCTTACCTCCAAACTATTGAGCTGTAGTCAGAGCACTTTTCGAATTGTGACTATCTTCCCCAAACAAACCAACCACACACTATGAAGTTCAAGGCACCATGTGACTATCTTCCGCGCAAATTTACTATAAGAACTGCCAAAACCAAAGAAACACTACCGCAATCTTTCGGTAATTAGTTGAGTTTAAGTTATGGCAATTTTTCTTTAAATATTAGGTACCTTTTTAAGTCTTTTTTGTGAGAAAAAGTGCAAAACCAACAGTCGTTTTGGAATTGTGACACTCTTGTTTCAAGGCGACGATTTGGTTGGGAAAATGTAATGTTCTAAAACTACAATGTTAATGCAAAACAATAGCAGCATAGATAACGAATTTGTTGATTGTATGTCACTAAATAACTTGTTAATATGTTTTTGTTGAGTATGCATTAATTTCATTAGAACAGTACTAAATATTTTGACGTTATGAATTACTACAAAAAATGTCGATCGAAATGGATTTCTATGTCATGCAGTATCATTGTTATATTGTTGAAAAATTTACTTCTGTTGTCTTTAGAAACCTATAATATTTTAATGCTACAAAAATCGTAGTATATGTACTGAAGTATCACTCTTGCTTTATGTATAAATTTTAAACAGTAAATCTAGTCAGCCTCTGGACTAAAGATGTCACTTTGTAAATAAGAACGGTGTTGGGTGAATTGGGTTATATGTTCAGCTCATTTATTACAATACGATTCTTAATTTCATTTCAAATGCATATTTTTAATATCATCTATCACTTTAAATCCTCTTTACATTTGTTATTTAACGAATCATTTTGACTTTCAAAATTTTGTTTACACCACTTTTTGTTATTATATTGTTAATTTTTTACTTATATATGGTCCTAATTTGTGATAAGCACATATTTTAATATTCATATATTACACGTTTAGAAACTAAGCTATGAAGTCTATAGGATATAGTCTATAAAAGCTTTAAGATTTGATATCAGATGACTGCTTGTATATAATCCGTGTTAATGTTTCTTGTAAATATATATTAAAAGTTCCATTGATGTGGTGAAACCAGATGGTTCAAACTAAATCCATACCATTCAGTTCTCAGTAATGATAAACCATGTCAAGATCGATCAAAATTACAATTTCTATTTATGCAAAGTTTCGGTGTGGTGTTGATAAGTAAAGATACTGATAAAGAAACGCCAGACAGAAAATGATAATGTCATTGTGACAGGTTGAATGTGCCATTTATTTTCAAGGTAAAAAAAAAATGGGAGATTTTGTCGTTTTCAATCTCCGAATATTCGAACTTTTTAACTGACTTTGTCTTAATCTAAATACGCAATTTTTTCCATAGTATCTGTAACCTGTACGAGATACCAACGATGAGGCTCTGTATAATTTTTTAAAGTCGACTGATCAACAGCAAAATGGCGAACCTATCAATTCTTAATATTCTTTGTTTTTATTACAGAATTTGGAACGTTATTTGTTGAAAATTTGACTAATTCTAGAGAATTTTGATTTGTTTTTTTTCGGAATATTAGGTGCTCTGTATCTTAGCGTTTTTAATACTACTAGATGTAAAAAGACGTTTTTGAATGTCAAAAACTTATTGACATCTTTATAAAAGATCAAATGATAAAAATCCGACTTTGTCAACTTTTCATTATACATTCAAACGTGCTTATGTATACAATACAATATTTTTTGGGTCTCACTGCATCATGGATTTTGAGATGCTAGCTCAAAACCTACAAGTTTTAGTTGTACCTACTTATAGTTTTATGTAGAAGGTTCTAATAAAATTTATTCTGTTTTATTAGGCAGTTTCTTTTATAGGTAATAGACGGTCCTCGCCGAACGTGGAGGAACCACCCAGGGAATGTAGACGATGGGGCCAGATTGTGCATATGTTATACATACTTATATTTAAGGAGGTGATTTTTGGACCCATTTGGGGGTGGAGAAGTTTAAAAAAATAATTTTTAATAACTGTGATGCTTTATGAAATTTGATACACATGTTTTATGCGTCAAGGTGCATTTTCTGATGTACAAACATTTTTATCATTTCTACCAGTGGCATCTGAACAGGCCCTGAATTGAATATTTTTGAAGAGAAAAACCATTTTTGAAATCTCGATTTTCTTTCGTTCGATCCATGGTTTTTGCTTAAAAAAATAAAAATCGCTAAGTATCTGTTTAATATCAGGAGTACATCCGATGGATTTTTTTTTAATTCCCATTCAGTTTTGAACAAATTTGATCCCTTGACTTTCATTTAGCTGGGTGCACCAAATTTCTAGAATCTACAATATTATCGTAGTTATTATAAAATAGATTTTTTTTGAAAACTATACCGCCTAGAAGTTACATACGTTTTTTTCTTAAAATGGGTCCTAGAAATCGCCTTTTTGAATATTAGCATGCCATTGAGGAACACCCTGTATAAATGAATTCCCCT